AAATACAAGACAAGTAAACAATATGGGAGGGGAAGCATACTGTGGGGAGATAACAATTTCAAGTAAAAGTTGCCTTGTAATGAAGGAAATAGCACAACTCATACAATAATAAGGAACAGAGATCAACAAGTGCACGGCATCACCCTTCGTGCTTTTACTCTCATCCTCACCAAGCAATAGTATAATAAATCGTGCACGGCATCACCCTTCGTGCTTTTACTCTCGTTCCTCACATAAAATCAATAGAATCGGCACAGAATGGCACATCGTGCGGCACGGCATCACCCTTCGTGCTTTACTCTCTTTTCCTCACAATAAGCAAACAATGCACGGCATCAACCTTCGTGCTTTACACTCTTTCCTCACAAGAAACAAACAATGCACGGCATCACCCTTCGTGATTTAACTCTCGTTCCTCACCCAAACAACAATCACAAACAAGGGCAAGAGAATAACAAAAAAATAATAAAAATCCCGGCAAGGGAACACAAACAACAATTTAAAACCCGGCAAGGGTACACATCAATAACCTCAACGTCCCGGCAAGGAAAAATATTCAATAATCAACAACGTCCCGGCAAGGGAACAACTTAAATACTCTTTCTCTTCTTTTCACTTTTGATTCATAAATCACTTTACCACTTGAGCCAATGCTTCAAAGGGTTCAATCGTTTCATATACTTTCACATTGGAAATATAACTTGAGTCAATTCTCCTCGATGTTCAAAGGACACAATTTACTTCCACAACTTATCACAACCAATAGGAATTCACCACCAAGTCATAAGAAGTACAACGAAACCAAGATATTCACATTTAAAGACACACGGTCATGCTAGACACCAGCGTATAGATACTCGTCACCATGCCTATACGTCGTACACAACAAGGTTAGCAAATAAGACTCAGCTCCTAGTCCCTCAAGCTAGGGTTAAACCAAACACTTACCTCGAACTTCCAGGGCCAATTCAATCCTCAATAACCGCCTTTCCTCTCGAATTCGGCTCCAAATCAATTGTATCCATACAATAATGACTTTATTACATTAATAAATGCTAAGCAACGCGAACCCAAAGTCTAATTATAGTTTTTCCATCATTTTTCCCAAAAAGGTCAAAAATGCCCCCGGGCCCACATGGTCAAAACCCGAGGTTCGAACCAAAACCCGATTACCCATTCCCCCATGAACTCAAATATATAATTCATTTTAAAATCGGACCTCAAATTGAGGTCAAATCCCCAATTTTAGAAAAACCTAGGTTCAACCCAAAATACCCAAATTTCCCCATTAAAATCTTTGATTTGAAGTTGAAATTATGTTAAAAGATGTTAAGGAGTGAAGAAAATGAGTTAGAAATCACTTACCAATCGTTTTGAAGAAGAAGGGTTGTTTGGAAAATCGCCTCTTATGTTTTGGGTTTTTGAAAAGTGTAAAATAACTGAAATTCCCGTTTATTTATACCCCTCTGAAGTTCCCTGCGCGGACCGCGCAAAAAGGACCGCGGCCGCACAGGCCTCCCTGAAGACCTGCGGATCCTTGCCCCGTGCGGACCGCACAAAGACGACCGCGGCCGCACAACACCCACCGCGGACCGCTCGAAGGCGACCGCGGCCGCGCTGGCCCCTCCGTGGCCGCACACGATTTCTCGCGGACCGCGCTAGAGGGTTCAGAGACCTGCAATATTTCCTGAACCTGCAACATCTGATCTTTTAAGTCTAAGGCACCCCGGAACCTACTCGAAACTCACCCGAACCCTCGGGGCTCCAAACCAAACAAACACACCACCTCAAAAATATCCTACGAACTTATTCGTGCGATCAAATCGCTAATATAACATCATAAACATCAAATTAAGCCTCAAAATCCATGATTTCTTCCAAATTTCACAAAACATCAAATTTCCCGTTTCAAGTCCGAAACACGTCAAACGACGTCCGTTTTGAACCAAACTTTACAGAAAGTGCTTAAATCATATATAAGACTTGTACCGGGCGCCGGAACCATAATACGGGCCCGATACCATAGTCTTCTAATCAAATTTCATTTCCAATTTCCTTAATTATTTCAAGAAAACAATTTCACACAAAAATTCATTTCTCGGGCTGGGGACCTCGGAATTCAATTCCGGGCATACGCCCAAGTCCCATATTTTTCTACGGACCCTCCGGGACCGTTAAATTACGGGTCCGGGTCCGTTTACCTAAAATATTGATCGAAGTCAAATTTATTCATTTTAATATCAAAAATCAATATTTTTCTCACAGAATTCATATTTAAGCTTTCCGGCTACGCGCCCGGACTGTGCACGCAAATCGAGACAATCCTAAATGAGGTTTTCAAGGCCTCGGAAGTACAGAATGGGTAAGAAAATAGGTGATGACCCTTTGGGTCGTCACAATATTGCTTTGATATGCGTGAATGTAAGATGATTACAAATGGTTAAGACCCTCTTTATATAGTAGAGGAACCCTATTTACGGTATAATTCTAATTACAGAAGAAAATCCCATGATTAGCTAAACAACCGCCCTTGATTTGATCTGTTCCGAGATTTCCACCATTATCATCGACCAGTCACGGATATCTCGTCTTTTCGTTATTATGCTATCTCAGGTTTTGTTCAATGTTTATCCCGTTCGATCTCGATTATTACTGGTCTCGATTTCATTAGGCGTCTCGAACCCCGAACTTGGTACCTTATCCTCGTATCTCGATCTGTCAAGCCATGGGACTGATCCTCGATCCATCCTCCTAGTCCTGGTTAATTAGTAAAATCGGGTGGGCCCGGTTTTAACCGTATACAAATTTAAACTTTCACGAAACGACGAGTCCTCAATTAAATTAATTACTTATTTGCTTGCATGTTCGTTTTCTAAGGATAATCAATGCGTGAGCCCCATTCATATGTATATCGTTACCATTTCACTATAAGAGGTAAGAAAGCATCTAATGAAGTCTTCTATTTTTGGTCATAATATTATATGAAGAAAACCAAGTGCAACTTCCATCAATTCGTACATGAGCTGTTTATCGTGGCCATATTACTTATAAAAGTTCTGCGACCCTTCTTTTCTCTATTTATCGTAGCCATATTATATATCTCAATGATAAAAGCTAAACATAAATATTGTAAAAGTGACATACCATCGAGGGATGTGATGGAATGAAGGATATTCTTCCGTCTTTAATCAGAGCTCTCGGATTTGATCCTTACCAATAAAAACTTGTCTTAATGGATTATCAATAGCGCTTCCCCTTAAAGATCAATACGATACGAATTTGGATTAGTCGAGCTTATAGTAGCTGTTCTGACACCAGATAGTTAAATAAAAAAATTGTAAACATGACTTGTTCCAATTAAAAGTTCACTAAAGGGCAGCCCTGCACTAAGCTCCCGCTATGCGCAGGGTCCAAGGGAAGGGGCGGACCACAAGGGTCTATAGTATGTATTCTTACCCTGCATTTCTGCAAGAGATTGTTTTCACGGCTTGAACACGTGATCTCCTGGCCATATGGCAACAACTTTACCAGTTACGCCAAGACTCCCCTTCCCAATTAAAAGTTCACGATAAATATAAAAATAAAATCTCCAAAATCAATTTGGGAAAACGTGTGGTAAGTGCAAAGAAAAAGCGCGTAACTACGTACAACACAAACTCCCTCCCAAATTTAGTAGTAAGACATTATCACTCTCACTTACCCAACGTAACATGCAACCAAATGTTAAGAATTCATCTCCATTTCTTTCTCACCTTAGCAAACTAAAAACAGAAAACTTCACAAAGCGAAACCAAAGAAAGATGAGAACACCAACATCATCAAAAACAAAAGTAACACCATGTTGTAGCAAAGTAGGGTTAAAGAGAGGGCCATGGACACCACAAGAAGACGAGATATTAACAAATTATATAAATAAAGAAGGCGAAGGACGGTGGCGTACACTGCCAAAAAAGGCGGGGCTCCTCCGTTGTGGGAAGAGCTGCCGCCTCCGGTGGATGAATTACCTCCGTCCTTCTGTCAAACGCGGCCATATTTCGCCTGATGAAGAAGATCTCATCCTTCGCCTCCATCGCCTCCTTGGCAACAGGTCCTCCAATCTTCTTATATCAATTGTTGTTTATATTATTGGCTTATTATTTTTTCCCTCTACTCTGATTTATATCACCTTTAGTTATACTATACATTTCTCTCTTCTTTTTTCTAATTATAAAAATATCTCTATTTATATTGTGAGAAAATAAAACTCACATGTCGATCTATATTGTGTTGGGAATTTTCGACTGATACCACTAACCTATAAGCATGGATTGTTTACTTTTACTAATCTTTTTATCTTCTTTTGAGTTTTTGTTAGGGTTTGCAGTATCTTTGAGTTTAATTTTTGTTTAAATCTAGTTTTAGAGTCGGCCTAACCCCACACCACAATGCTGGTTTTCGATTAAAAAAATAATTGTGGTTTTAGTGTAATATTGGAAGGTTGATTTTGAGATTAGAGAAATTTTCATGAACATTTTATGTTGATTTTTAATAAAAAGTTAGGTTAATTTTTATTTTTAGTTTGAAGGAAATATATATTTTCGTTTTATTTGTGGAAATTAAAGTATATATCTATTAATTAAACAACTGTTATTTTTTTATTTTTGGAATAAATCAAAGAGGCCCTAATATATAATCTTACTTTACATTTCCAAATGTCTAAATGAATTCATTTCTGAAGTTAGAGATCTTGAGATTGAACTCAACCCCCACAAAAGAAAAGGACAATTTAGCACTCACAATGTGTTATTTTTTTCCTTCTGTTCTATTTGAATCTTTAATGCTTCTTTACTTAAAATATGATTTTTCTTTCTTATATTTTTTTTATTTCCTTGGAAATGTTGTAGGTGGTCCTTGATAGCTGGGAGAATTCCAGGAAGAACAGATAATGAGATAAAGAATTATTGGAACACTCACCTTAGCAAGAAGTTAATCAGCCAAGGAATAGATCCAAGAACTCATAAGCCATTAATAAACCATAATTGCTCAAGTGATGATCAAATTACCAACAAAGCTTCTTCTTCTTCACCTTCTTCATCTTCAAAATTAGCAAATGATTTCAACACAATTCCAAACCCTATTTACATTCCTTTCCAAATGGAAGAACCATTAAGAAGCATCAATATTAATCATCCTGGAGAAATTACGAGTCTTGATGATTATCAATATCAAAGTAACGCGATACTTGTCAATTATGATGATGATCTGAATATTGTGGTTGAAGAAGATGATGAAATGAATTGTTGCACGGACGATGTCTTCTCCTCGTTCTTGAATTCTTTGATCAATGAAGACATGTTCAATAGCCAAAACCAACAAATTACCAATGGCATGTTTCCAGATTTTGATCCTTTGATTAATCCTACACAGGATAATCAAAATAATCACCAAGAGAGTGGATGAATGGAGATGTTTATGTGCCTTCTCTAATTACCTTCACATGGTTATATAAGAAATAGAAGAAGAATTTGGATTCTTATTGATTGTAAGCAAACCATTCTTTCTCTTGATGATGTTCTAGCTTGTTTTTATTGTTTTGATATGTAACTTATAAATATGAATTTTAACCATTATCTTGTAATGGAATATGTATGTGAGGTTTGTACATATCGTAATGCCATAAGTATATGTTTGAGTTTATTTATTTTTCTAAAGTAGTTTTTGGTTAACTCTAACCCTGAAAGCTAGCTGAAGATGTGACATTACCCAAGACCATATAATAAACGTAATATATATATATATATATATATTGGATTCCACAAAATGTGGTAAACAAAATACCCCCTCCCACTCCCAAGACTAGATATCTGGTGCGTGAACATTGTAAAATGAGGGCTCAAAATCGAGTAAACTAAGAATTATGATGAATCTCACTCTGATATCATGTTAAGAAAATAGATTTTGGGTCTAATATACCGTGCAATGATATGCAACAACAACAACAAACCCAGTTTGATCCTAACAGGTGGGGTCTGGGGAGGGTAGTCTGTACGCAGACCTTATCCCTACCTAATGCAGGTAGAGAGTCTGTTTCCAATAGACCCTCGGCTCAGGAAGGACAAGAAGAAGAGGAGGAAAGCAAGGAAGGAAGAAAGAAGGAAGAGAAAAGAAAAGGGGGGAGATACAGGATAAGTAGTACCAAATAATAGCAGCAGGGAATACAATACCTGAGGCGAACACAATCACATAACGTAATAGAAATCTAAGAATATGACGGGACATGCATGCTACTAAGACTATCGGTGAACAACTATAAACTACCTACTAACCTTCTACCTTAATCCTCGACCTCCACACCCTCCTATCAAGGGTCATGTCCTCAGTGAGTTAAAGCAGCGCCATGTCGTGTCTAATCACCTCTCCCCAGTACTTCTTAGGCCTACCTCGACCTCTTCTCAAACTCTCCATGGACAACCTCTCACACCTCCTGACAGGAGCATCAATGCTTCTTCTCTTAACATGTCCGAACCATCTCAGCCTTGACTCCCGCATCTTGTCCTCCACGGAGGCTACTCCCACTCTGTCCCGGATAGCTTCATTCTTAATCCTATCTCTCCCGGTACACCCACACATCCATCTCAATATCCTCATCTCTGCTACTCTCATCTTGCAGGTGGGAGTTCTTGACTGGCCAACACTCAGCCCCATACAGCATAGCCGGTCGAACCACCACTCGATAAAACTTACCCTTAAGTCTTAGCGGCACATTCCTATCACACAAAACACCGGAAGCGAGCCTTCACTTCATCCATCCCGCTCTGATGCGATGTGCGACATCTTCGTCAATCTCCCTGTTACCCTGGATAATAGACCCGAGATACTTAAAACTCTCTCTCGGGGATAATAGACCCGAGATACTTCGGCAATGATATGCACTTGCTCAAAATTCTATTGAGTTGGGCATGTCACTTATAATTTGTGAGGATGTTCGATTTTAGGTCCCCTCCTTTATCTAATTGTATTTTGGATTTTAATATACAAGGTAGGGGTAATGCCAATCTCCTTGCTACCACAAGACGGCTTTAACTAAAAGCAATCCTAACACATCAGGATGAATATAAAGTTCACATTAATTTAAATCAAGCATAGACTCTTAACATTTTACATTAATAACAAATCCAACATTTTTTTGTTCATCATCTCCTCTTAAAACCTCCATAAAGCTCTAGATACAAATTTAAGCTGCAACAACATATTTCCATGTCATCACAACTTTTACTTTCTTTTACAAGACTTTAAGGTTCTTTTTTTTTTTTAAACTTTCTTTTACCAGACTACATAGTTTTGGAATATATCTTCTTCATGTCTTCAATTGTCAAGGTTTTGTCTACATCTTCCTTTATATTTGACAACAACATGAAGTACCATCCTTAGACCAAATTTTCAGAACTTCAACTAAAAGCAGCTACCAGTCTGTTTATTTTAAATATACTGCACATGCGATTGGTAGGTAACTCTAGATATACATGCATATTTTACTTTCATTTTACTACTCGAATAATATTGTTGTAAGGTCCGATAAAATGAGACTGAAAATTACCTTAAAGATGCAAATATTACTTGTCATAATAAATATTCATTCATGCAAATCAACCCTTAAGTTGGTGCGAAATGTATAATGACCACCGTTCTAAAAGTTGGTCTATAGCGAACCGTTCAAAAATATAAAATTAAACTAAAGTTGGAAATATTTCTTAAGTTCCTCTTTTTTCAATTTCTCATTAAGCAAATAACATCTTCTTCTGCATGTAAGCATATGTTATGTTTTTTCTTTAATCATAATGGGGAATGCTTTTACTTTATAGTATAGTTTAATATTTGAGCACCTAATAGTCCGAAAATATAATCATGTATAGAATGCAATTGCATTTTCTTGACTGAGAAAATATATGCATAATATGGTCATATAACTAGTCAAAACAACAAGTCGAAATTCTGGTAGCTAACATGCATTCGACTAATTAATTGATTAAATATATCAATTTTACTGAACCGAAAATTATATATTCTAAAAAGGAAGAACGTAGAAATTAACCATCCAATGCATTGAAAATTGCTGCAATATATATTACGTAGTTGAAACGAGCTTCCACGAATAAACGGTAGCTTGAAGAAAGAAAAATAGAATATATATTCAACATGAACATAAATTATTAGAACTATATGCATATAAGAATATGTATTCAAGAGTGCCAAAAATATATTTTTTAAAAAAGACATGCAAAATTTGTTTCTGTTTAGTACCATTTTACAAGCTCTAGGACTAAAAACAGAATATATGGAGATGACTTTGCATGTAATATAAAAAGAATAAATAAAATTCTACAAATTAAAATCGTTGACTCACCCGGAAAGTAAACTCGTAGCCATTGCCATGTTGGAGCTAGAAAAAGTTCCTTTTAAAAGATTTTCCTTACTGTTTTTCCAGAGAATATACAACTTGTAAAATAAGATTAGTTAGAAATTATTAGTGTAAAATGAAATTGTAGAAGAAAAATAAGGAAAGAATTGAATGGTTTCAGTTTGAAACCAACTACTAGAAGAGAGAAATAAGAATAGAAGAGCTTCTAACAAACCACTACTTATACCCCTCTGTCTCCCCCCACCCCCCACCCACCCACCACGGTGGATATACCATTACGCTACCAGGTTTATTCAAACCCAATATTTTTTATGTGGAGCATAAATTTATGCGTAAAATTTTGCTAAAATTGTAACGCACTCCTAACAAATATTAATAGATATGAATTCATAACTTTAAAAATATAATAGATTCATACTAATTCATAACTTTAAACGTCAAATTTAATTCTTGAATACGCCTCCTAAAAAAGGCGTAGTATTAAGATAAGAATAAAAGAAAAAACCCTAATAGGAAAGGATGAGTCAATGACATGAAGAAACTTGTTGAATATTAGTTGCAAAGATATTTTGGATATTCATGACCAAAAATAAGCTAGTACTTAGCTTGTTTTTCCCCTACTAAAGAAAATATGTATTTTTTGAAATATTTAAAATCAATAGTCTACTTTTCCCTTTTTCCTTCCTTGTATAAGATTGACCGGTAGTTTTTGTAATACGGAGATCTTGGCTAGAAATTGACTATACCTGACTTGGATAGATACATGAACTATAAATGTACATCCTAACTAACAAGCACATATTTGTATCTGGTATTTATATTAAAGTAAACAACTTAATTTTAATAGTTTAAAATAAACTGAAACTATACATCAATTAATCATGATTAAGGCATAGATGTGCGTATATAATAACGTACGTCTTGTATCTATTGGTTTGATATGAACATGAATAGTTGAAACTAATAACTGTTGGTATTATTGTGTTCAAAATCAGAAAATCAGAGAAGCAAACAAATGTTAGTTCAATAAACAAATCGTAATATAATTCCGAGCCCACTGAATTCACAATGTGTCCTTAAGGAATTTAATCCCCTCACTGTTGCCCAAGGTTATCGATTAATTCCTCCCAAGATAGAACGGAATAACTATTCTGTTGGCCCAAGAACAGGTGAAGTTTTGAAGATTGACAAAAGAACTCAGTCATGGACCAGGTCCATCTTGTGAAGCACAGTCATGATCAACCTATACATGTGAGATGCACATGAAGGAGATAAATCTAACTGATCAAGAAGCAATATCTCCTGATCTGATCGAAAAGGTTGCATATTGGATAAGGAGAGAAAGACTCCTTACATGAAGAGAACACAGTTTAGGAAGAAGATAGTGTTAGAGTTTGAGATCACTATGAACTCTTCTACGATAGAAGAGTAGTAATTGAATTTCAGTCAAACTCTGATTACTAGCCCATTAAATATCAGTGTTGTTCTCTTTTACAGGTAACACACATAGGCAGAAGTTAAACTTAAATTGAGAGCAAAAGAGCAAGGCGATTTTGCAAGCAATTTATGTGTGATTCGAGTGTGCAATCCTGAAGCTACTTGAACGAGATAGAAGAACCAGTTCCATGTGTCTATCTTTTATTCTAGTTCAATTGTAGTAGGTG